TTTATAATCCAGAATTCAATAAAGTCAGTGAAAGAAAAATGGCACAAAAGCAAGTCAAAGAGAAAGACTCAACACTGCATAACTAATCTTGATAGCCTCACTTTGGGTTTTAAACTAAATACTGAAGCAGATTTTTCAACCTTTCTATTTTTAAAATTTTTTTATTTTTAAAAATTCAACAAAATTATACTTATATCACTTGATAGCTGCAGTTACGCCACTTTAAAAGACTATAAAAATTAGCAGGTCAGTGCCTGATTTTTTTGGCAAAGATTGAATGGTAGACAGTAATGTTAGATACAGATAACCTTGCTTTTAAGGGGCCCACTACTTTTCCGGCTACGAGATCAACGACGGCTCCATTCTACCCACTCCCATTGCTCCCTAAAACCTACCCTTCATGGTCCACACAGGCCTCTGGACAGACCTTATGTCTGGGGTTTGGCCATGTCTACCTTCCCACCCTATGTGGATCTTTCTCCTTCCCTCTAAAGTCTCCTGGTTCTCCAAAGTCTAACTTGGCACGTTTCCTTCCTCAGTTACTCCAGTCAACAGACCTCCCTCCCTTCCCTTTCTGGGCCTCACCACCTCACTCACTCCTGGTTTTCTGCCCCGGCCCCTTTCCATCTCTACCCGAGCTCTCCAGGGCCTTAGCCCTGCCCCACGAAGTTCTCCCAGGAGCTCTCTCCCCACCTGCCTCCACTTAGCCACAAACTATGTATTCAGCGTCTGTTTTGCGCTTCGTGCCATAGCGACACCAGCTCGGAAGCCTGCTCAGAGACCCCTCTTCCCAGAAGCCCTCCCGGAGCTCTGGTTCCCCAAATGTCCTCGCGCCGCGATCCTCAAAGGCCGCTCTTCTCTCCCTCCTGGCCGCAGCGGCAGGCGGGCGAGTGGGGATGGGCGGTGACTCACCGGAGGGCCGGCCGGCCTGGGGGCCGGAATGCGCTCACTTCCTCGCCGCGCGCACCTGCCCGCGATGCTGGAGCATCGCCCGGCTGGGCCTCCGGCGGATGTTTTCCTTGTCCCCGCGCAGGCGGTGCGCGCCAGCCGCCCCCTCCCGGTCCCACGCGCCATCCGCCGCCCCAAACGGCTGCTCCTCCAGGACTTAGCGGGTTGGCCCCCGACCACTGACACCCTCCCTAGCAGGCATGTACATGTGTCCGCGCAGCTCCCCCAATTCTGGAAGATGCATCCTGGCTCAGCCCAGCCCCTCTCCAAAAGCCCCTACCCCCGCCCCCATTTACCTACGTCATCTTCATCACAGGCGGCTAACCCCCACTTCTGTCCCCACTACCTCACACACACCAACGCTCACTGGGCCCCCTTCACCTTCGGCATCGCCACCACCCTCTCGGTGCTCCCTGACTCCCCACTCACGCCCCCCTCATCGGGCTGGCTCCAGCTTGCAGAAGGGAGTCCAAGGTCTAGCCTTCCAGGGTGACCGCAGGACCCCTTCCCAAAGAGGCAGCAACAGGGATGCTGACGCTGACAAGACCTCTAGGCCCTGGTGCTAGGCAAGCCCTTCTAATCCACCTGCTCCGCTGAGAGGAGTCCAAGGCCATGCCTCCCACACACCAGCCTACTTTAGGGTGCCCTGCTTCAATTGTGAGTTTTCCTGGGTTTTTTTCCCCCTTGGCACTTCTCTGAAATGGAAAGGTATCAGACCTGACTAGGGCAAATGTGTGCTACATCCTGCAGCTCCATTCACCTAAGCTGTCTTCTTGGAAGAGGTCAGCTAGGGAGTCTGAGGTGCACTGACTGTGATTTCTGAATGGTGAAGAGGTGACAGGCAGGGTGGCCCTCTGAAAAAGTCTGCCTCTAGTTATATCTGAAGCACTAGGTGACATGGAGCAAGTCTTGCTGTAAATGGGACCGGAAACTTAGAAGGAAAAAGAGAATAAAGCCAAAGTGATTGGCCCTGTGGATAGGAGGGTGAATAGCTGGAACATGGGTCTTTGAAGTGTGGAAAAGTGAAAGAAATCCAGTCTGGCCTGAGTCTTTAGTGCCAGAGATGGCTAGCATTAACTAGCAAGATCAGAAAGGAGAACTTGAGATTTCACATGAGCGAGGATGGGCAGAAATGGACCAAATCCTAGTAAGAAAAAGCAGGAGACCTGAAGTTAGCCGGAAGGATGTTGAGAAAATGATAGCTCTTCCCAGGGTAAAGATGAGGGTACTGATCTGGGGAGTGCAAGCTTATCAGCAACAGTTGCTCAAACCAGACATTCGGAATTCAATACAAAGACCAAAACCAAAATGCTGGAGGTGTCTGTTTTTGAAGGAGGTGGGAGGGATGACAGGGAGCATGAATGTGAAAGGGGCGGGACTCTATGCCAGTAGAGAACAGTCCCCAATAGAAGCCCTCAGCTGTGCACACAGAGCTGCTCAATGTTATTCAAAGAAAAGAATGTCGCCCATTTTGCCTCTGAGCTTTAGCACCAATCACAGTAGCTAATATTATCTCAGGGCTCTGTGCCAGAGATGGTACTAAGAGCATTACATGCCTTATCTCATTTAATCCTCATAACAACCCTATGAGTTGGCATCACTTATCCCCAAATTATAGATGAGGAAACAGGCTTAGAGATGTGAAGTAATTTGCCCAACGTCGCACAGCTAGTAAGTGGAGTCAGGATCTGAATCTGTGTAGTTGGTCTCTATAGCCTATGCTCTTCACCAGGCATCCCTCGGCTGCCCTGCAAAGGGGGAGGGCCTGACCCAGAGTGGGGCTCAGCCAACACCCCTGTTCCCGGGGCTCCTGCTCCCCACTCCAGCTAAACTCAACTGATCACCCATCTGCTGACTGCTCACTGCTGCTGCCACTTCCAGGGAAACCACTAGCGGCTGCCAATTTATTCTGAATAAATAAATTAATGCTACAGCTGAAAGCCTGCCTCTCGTTGTGCATGCCACTGGGCCCAAGGTAGAAAAAGTGCTACTAGAGTTCAGGTGCTCAGTTCTCAGTATGGTGAAGAAACTAGTGCCAGGGTGGGCAAGCAGGTCAGTTGGGAGTGGGGTCCTCCAGAACCGCAGGAAACTCCAAGGAGGATGCCAAAGGATAAATTCCTAAAACCTCACCCTATTACACACTGGGAGGAAAGAGGGGGCACCTCTGGCAAACCGGAGTGATTCATCCCATTAGGGCATTTAGGAGATGCTCCTTTTTGAAAGGGAGAAAGAGTCATCCCTAGGTATGGGGCAATCCTGCATCTGCTGTATATCTGAGGGTGATGAACACTGGATAGTTCATCTCTGGGATACCTGAAGAAAAGAGAAAAAGAGAATCCCTACCCCCCCAAATCTCTGAGGGGCAGCCCTATTTCTAAGATACATCAGGGAAACCCTGCCCCAGGGTCTGAGAGAAACACTCTCCACCCCAGGTGCCTGCTTGCTCTCCTGGAGCCTCTGGCCATTGCACCCTACTGCAGATTCTGGGTTTGGCTGGGGCACAGGATTAGCCATCCCCAGGAAATGCCTCCCTCCGGTCCAGGCAGGGATCCCAGCACACACACCCCTGGTGGTGGCAGTGGGGGGAGAGAGGGGGAAGGTGGAATGTTTCCTTCTCTCCAGGTCAGGGAAGAGATCTGGGGACCACCTGGGGGCCCTCACCCCTCCCACCTCCGTGCTGGGGAAGTGCCCAGTCCAGTGCCCCTTCCACCGGCACGTCCCTCCCTCTAGCTGTGCCGGGGCATGAATCAGCTCTCACAGCTTGTTAAAGCTAGACCTCTTGTTTTCATGCCCTCACCTCAGGAAACAGAGTTACAGCTTTTCCAGCTCTACTCAGCAGGGGGCCAGGGTCCTCACTTTATAAACATCCCCAGCCTGTGAGCGCAGAGGGCACGGAGATAGTGTGAGACAGGAGCCCAGGGGAGAAAGAGAGAAACTAAGACTCAAGGAGCAAACCGAAGTAAAGCCAAGGAGACAAGACCAGAGTAGTCTGAACAGAAGCCAAGAAGGGTTCGAGAGGGCTGTGCAGCAGAAATGGCCCTACCGATATTCTGGGCTGGACAGGCCAAGGGGATCCTAGGTGGCTGGGGAATCATCTGCTTGGTGATGTCTCTACTCCTTCAGCACCCAGGAGTCCACAGCAAGTGCTACTTCCAAGCTCAAGGTAAAGTGGGGTGAGGCGTTAGGAAAGGATGAGGAGGGGGGGTGCACTTAGAGATGATCCTGTGTCCGAATACCCAGATTCCCTCCAGCCATGAAACAGGAAAAACTAAATACGGGGGTAGTGTGCACTTACTCCCTCCCAGCCCAGACCAGAATCTGCCTGCCACCACCATTCCCACACCCACTAACATTTCCCATTCTTTCCTAGCCCCCTGTCACTATGAGGGGAAATACTTTACCCTGGGTGAATCTTGGCTCCGCAAGGACTGTTTCCATTGCACCTGTCTGCATCCTGTTGGTGTGGGCTGCTGTGACACGTGAGTGACCAAAGATGGACAGAGGGAATGACTCAGATGTGAATGACTGAGGGATGACCAGGGAGTTACTAGATTGCTGTGATGTGAGAATGAACAGAGGAGCAGTATGAGGCTGGCCAACGTGAAGGTAGCAACAAGAGTGTGAAAGATGAGGCTTCATGCTACAAAGCAAGGGAGGCTGGGGGGATCTGGAGGGAAAATACTCCTGTTATGAAGCAAAAAGTCCTATATGGTAGGTTAGAGCTTAGTTAGGGGGACCAAGGGGACACTAAAGGAGGATACGAGAGGAGGCTGTGAGAGAGGAAATGTGGGGCAGGGATAAAGGTGGCCTTTCACTGTGCTGACTTCTTCCCCATCCTTGGTTCCCCAGGTCCCAGCATCCCATTGACTTCCCTGCTGGGTGTGAGATACGTCAGGAGGCAGGAACCTGCCAGTTCTCCCTGGTGCAAAAATCTGACCCTCGGCTGCCCTGCAAAGGGGGAGGGCCTGACCCAGAGTGGGGCTCAGCCAACACCCCTGTTCCCGGGGCTCCTGCTCCCCACTCCAGCTAAACTCAACTGATCACCCATCTGCTGACTGCTCACTGCTGCTGCCACTTCCAGGGAAACCACTAGCGGCTGCCAATTTATTCTGAATAAATAAATTAATGCTACAGCTGAAAGCCTGCCTCTCGTTGTGCATGCCACTGGGCCCAAGGTAGAAAAAGTGCTACTAGAGTTCAAGTGCTCAGTTCTCAGTATGGTGAAGAAACTAGTGCCAGGGTGGGCAAGCAGGTCAGTTTCAGATGGTTATGGTGCTGGTGCTGGGGCCTGGGGCAGCATATGAGGCCAGGGTGGGGCTTGTGGGCAGGACCTTGATGGGGAGGTCCCAGCTGAAAGTGTCTACAGGCACTTGCTCAGGACCTGTCCAGGTGGTAGGTTCGGGCTGTTCCACAGGGGGTAGGAGTACCAATCCTGGTTCTCGGGATGTTACAAATTCGAAATGCAATCGCCACTTCAGGGACACTGTAGAAGAAAAAGATAAAAGGAGAGGAATTAGAAGCCAACAGGAGGAAAAGCCAATGACAAGATAGGGTCAGTGAATGAGAAAAAAATTTATATTCAGGAAGACAGGGAAAAGACACAGGAGACAGAGCTACAATCAAGAGTTTTTCTGAAGAAACTGGTTATGTTAACCAAAGATGTAAGTTGAGGATAGCACTGTCAAGTACCTAATAACCCAAGAGTGGGACAGTCAAGACTAGGTAGCTTGAAATAAATGTGCTACAGAATCAGAAATCAGTGTATCACATGGTCCCAGCAGGCAGCAGTGGGGAAAGAGTTCTGCAAAGCTGTTAAGGGTTTAGGGGTCAGTGCATCTAAGAAATAGGGATAGAAGTTCAAAGTCTGAAAAAGTGTTACAGGTCAGAGGCTAGGTGTGGGTATGTCTGGGAGTGAGTTAGGAACCAGGATCCATTACACTCTACCCAAGCGCAGCATTTTACTGCCCCCCTTTTCCTTCTCCAGTAACCATCAGGGCCTCACCAATGGCTGTGCAAAAGCCTGGAGTGGAGCTGAGAGGGATAGGGAGGGAGAAGCTGGTTCTGGTTGTATGTAGGCAGGACTCCTGGTGCCGGGCATGAGTCACATGGGACACAGAGGGGACACCCCCTGTCCCACGGCGCCGCTGGTACTCAGGCTGTACACGCTCCTCAGTCTGTAAGCTTACTGAAAACTGGGAATAAGAAGAGAGGTGCATGCTAACAGGCATTCATAAGTGCTGAGTATAGGTGAGAGGGTAGCCCAACCTCAAGCTATTACACCAAACGATATGGGAGGAAGGCTGTGATCCCTCTAACCAAGTCTATACACCACCCTCCTTCACACCGGCCCTTCTCCTTCCACCCCAGCCCTTCAGGCCCAACACCCCAGAAGCTCTGCTCCCTTCTCACCTGCAAACAAGCTACGGTTCCTTCCCCTAAGTTTAAGGTCCCCACCACGTCCTCGCCGAGTCTGTACACAGATTTGAAGATGCTAAATGTCCCAACTTTCCCTTGGCCATCACTGATATTGTATAGATCTGGGGAGAATGGAACATCATAAACCTGGAGTCTATATCAGGGAATGTCTAGGACTGGGCATCAGAGGCCAAAAGATGGGGCTTTTCTTTATAATCAGGGGTGAGACATCAGTGGATTGCCAGAAGTATGAGGTGGTTAGGCGATTCTGTCTCTGAGACAGGAATACTCTGAGGGGAGGATTGAAGGGGGCAACTCTGAAAGGGTTCTCACGTAGGCTGCGGCAGGATGTGGCAGCCATGAGGCGCTCCCCAGCGAGTTCAGCTAGCCATGAATCCTTCTTCCCACCTTCATCCTCCTCCAAGAATGGACTGGATGGGGCTACAGCCTCATCCTGGGGAAAGCGGACATCCTGAAGGCCTAGAGAGACAATGAGTGGAGAGGTAATGCTGGGAGGAAATACAGATGAGAGCAGAGGTTAGAGTTTTGGATTCTAACCTCATAGGGCTAAAGGTAAAGGAAGCCATGGCTGAGGTATACATTTCAACCTATTATCCAGAATCCCCCCTCTCCTCCCAACTCCCTAGCACCTTCACTGAGACCAGGAAGCTTCCTTGCAGCCCCTCTTGTGAGCCCTCTAAGACTATTTCTGCTTTGATGAGGCTCTTTCCCAGCCCTTCCCTCCAGGAACCCTTACTTACCAGTCAGTACAAGAACCCTCAAAGGGACCCTGAGTAAAGTGATGGGTGAGTTGACACGCTGGCAGCCAATGGTCAGTTTGTAGACATACTTGACTGACTGACCCCGAAAGGAGGGTGGTCCCTCTATGGGCAGCACTTCACTGTAGGAGTCTGGTTGGGAAGTAGTAGTCAGGGCAGCCAGAGGCAGCCAGAGAGTCCTCCCTCCGGGAGACTTAGAAGGCAATTCAGGGATGGGGACAGTCACTCACATGATTTGGACTCTCCAGGGTCTAGCCTCAGGTCACAGAATAGAATTTTTGGTGGAGTAGAAAGGATACACTGACCCCTCTCACCTAAAATAGGTAAGAAAGACTGCAATTTAACGGCCTGTTGTCCAGCAGTGAACAAGGCTAGCACAGCCGGTGGGGGCAGTGAAAAGCTGCCAACCTCCTTTTCCTGTTGTAAAATGGGAACATAGTCTTATACCACCAAAGCAATAGGCACCTTCCCCCACATCCCCAATGTAACTGGGACTAAAATGACACACGAGAACAATTTAAAAATTTGACCTGTGGGTGACAATGACTCCACCCTCCTCCCAAAGCAAATGCCCCACCTCTAACCTCGGTGTGGCAGAAAGACAGTCTGGCTGTCAGGCTGGACATCTGGCTGACTAGAGTCAGGGGGAGGCAGTGCTACCCGACTCTCGCTGGCATGAAACTGGCAATGGATCTGGGCACTGGCCCAGGCCAGAGCCTCACTGTGGGAAGAGGAAAAGGAGGCATCAGAGGGTAGTTCCTGACCTCACAAATGTTTTCCCAAACTCCCTACCTCACTGTCTGATGAGATCAACAAGGTTAGGTAGGGGGTTGTCCTAGTGATCAGGAAATCCAGAACCCCAAAGAGAAACCATTACACAGAGAACTATATTGTGGGTAAAAAGGGGAATGGGGGCGGGGGGGAGGAGAGTGGCCAGCTATGTCATCCACACCTTCCTTTAAATAACCATTTCCTACAACCAGGGCACAACGAGCAAGAAGGTGGTGATGTAGCTACAGAACAACCTGGGCTGTGTCTTAGCACCAGGGATACCAGGCTTCCTCCCAGAAGGGCCACCACCTTCAGTACCAGCATCCCCACCTGGATGCAGAAGTGGCCGTGGGGGGCAGGGGGTTGGTGACGGTCACCACACACTCCAGCGCCTCCCCCGCCAGAAATACAGGACCCCGGCTCAGCTCTGCTACCACTTCAATCATGGCAGCTCCAGAATCAGATCTATAAGGAAACGAGAGGGGTCGGAGGTCAGCACCATGGCAGTGACTGGTGTCTGAGAGGAGCACCTGGGGTGAGGACCGACAAAAGGGACGGTCAGCACCATGGTGCCAGAGGGAAGCGGCTGGATACAGGGAGGGCAGGTGGGTGGGAGGAACCTGGCGCTGCTGACTCAGCACCGCCTAAGCGGAGGCCGTCGCTCTGGGCCGCAGCCCCCAGCCCCGCTCTGCGCGGGGTTACTCTCCCTGCCCCCGGAGATCCCAGGCTAACCTCTGCCCCCCCTTCCCCCAAGGTTCCATTTCCCACCCCAAGACCAAGGCCACCCGTCACCTCGCATGGTCGAAACCGGGGTATCGGCATACCGAGGCCCTCACCTGTCGGCCCCTCCACGACCAGGCCAGGTGCGTGGCGGCGTCCGCGGCGTCGGCGGCGCGGCGAAGGCGGGACTTCCCTTCAGTCCCCCCACCCCTCTACAGAGCCCCTTCCGGCAGGAAGCGCCCGGCTCGCCGAACCGGAAGGGGCGCAGGTCATCCTGGCGTCTTGGGTCACCTTCCCACGGGCTGGCACCTGGGCGCGGGCACTGCCCTGTACACCAGCCGGCGAGACCCGGTGCCCAACCCTGGGGGGCCTCCTGGTGCCGCGGCCCGGGGACCCTGCCAAGGCCGCCGCCAGATCCCCGGGGCGGTGCCTTGAGGGCAGGTCCCGGGGGCGGTGCTGCCTTGCGGGCTGCCCCGCGGCTCCTCCCCTCTCTGCGGGCCCAGTAGTGCTTTGGCCAGGTGAGCTAATCACCGGGGCCCAATGACATCGAGGCCCAACCCTTCCCTCCCAGGACATAGAGTGACAACCGAAAGGGAGCCCAAGGCGGCTTCATTGCTGTCGCCGCCGCCGCTGAAGCGAGAGCTCCTCGGCTCCACAAGTAGTACACCAGCTCGCCTCAGCTTTCCCCAACGCCTGGCCTCCGGAACGGCACCTAACAACAACCGCCGCCCGCATCTGGATTAAGGCTGGCGAGATACTAAGTATCCGAGGGCTCGGGACACGGGGCGATCGAGGTCGTGGGGACCCAGGACCCAAGGAACATGGGAACCGGCGTCCCAGCCTCGGAGCAGATCAGCTGTGCCAAAGAGCGTCCACAGGTTTATTGCCCTGAAGATACTGGCGGCACTGAGGCTGTGCATATTACGGACTGCGAGAGCCCTGTGGACAGCCGACGTCAAAATGAGCTGGGCTACAACAATCTGGAGGACTCTGGGCATCTGATGGCCTCTTATGAGGGTAAAGCTAAGGGCTACCAGGTGCCTCCCTTTGGCTGGCGCATCTGCTTGGCTCATGAGTTTACAGAGAAGAGGAAACCCTTTAAAGCTAACAACATCTCCCTAAGCAACATGATAAAGCACATAGGCATGGGTTTGAGGTGAGTAGATCCCATTGCCTGTAATGCCTTTGGCTTCACTTTGTTCCAGCTCAAGACTTCCAGCAGAAGTGGGAAAGGGTGAGAAAGCAGGTGGGCTCCTTGTCCCAGTCAAGGGGACCTTATCCCCAGCATACTTTAGGCCCATGGCTTTGGAGGGTAAGACCAGGTCACATCTCTTTGCAAGCCTTTTCCTCCCAGTATCTTATCTTGAGCAGGAAGATAGGCACATTTGGTCTTGTACTCAGCCTTTCCCATTTGGGCTCCTTCTCACATACTCTGTTTTCGAAAGACTTTCCTTTGGGATTAGCTGTACTTTGTGGCAAGGTAGGAAAGGATAGTCTGGCTGCTGTGGCACTGACACAATGTTGTTTTATTTGGGAGGGAGAGGTTCTTAACCCCAGGTTTCCCTGAGCATCTGAGGCATTCTCTGTACCTCATTTAGACACACTATGTTACAGTCCCAACACCCATCTGTTTCTTTCCTCAAGCTTTTAGCTCCAGGGAGTAGATGAGAGCCTGCTTTCCTTCAGCCCCAAGGAGAGGGAGCTGTTCACTCTGTTCTGGGATAGACAGCTCCTAATATAAAAAGCAAAGGTAACCTCTGACCAGAGAGGCACTGCCATAGATGTCCCTAGGGCTTTTGGTAAAAGCCTTCCAGAGCCTGCCCTAGTCTCTCCCCAACCCCAAAGTTTACAGACACCCCCTGAGCTTATCCTGGGCTTTCTAGATCTCCACTGAATTCAACGACTACTGATGAGCCAGACCTCATCAGGAAGTCTGACCTTAACAAGAACAGGTGGATGTGAGGACATAAAGCATCACCCTGAGGTCATCTTGAGTCAGCCCACACAGTAAGCATAGAGCTAGGGAGGGAGGTTTAAAGGTTGGGAAACTCAGCCAGGACAGCTTCTAAAGTAGGGGACCCTTTACTTCCCTAGTCAGTGCTGTGGGGCTGTGGTGGGGAGGTTATTTACTAACCCAACCCTGGGCAGTGGAAAGGGCCTGGTGATGCCTGCACATCTGGCTCCTTTGCTAGTGCCTGTGGGTGGCCTGTACCAGAGAAGAATCATCCCTCCAGGATGCTTCTGAAATTGGCCCAGTCCAACTTTGACCCCAAAGCATCTGGGTCAAAATTGGACCTAGAATACAGACAGAAGCACAGTGGGTTGCCTGTGGTGGGGACAATGAAGTCAAGAACAGGTGGGCATCCTAGCCTCATGGCCCCTAAATATGAACTGAGTCATAGAGGCCTGAAGCTGTGCTCAGTACCCTAGACCTTGGCTCCCCATACCAGGATAGGGTGGGGGTTATTGACACAGGGCTTTTGGCATGAGTGAGGTCCTGCACTGAGGGCGAAGCAGGGGTGAGACAAGGAAGAATTCCGAACATTCATGAGTTTGGGTTGAAATTATAGAGAAGGTCAAATAGGGTTAGGGAGTGAGAGAGCTCCAGGAAGACAGAGTTCTCTGGGCCTCAGCTTGGTAAGAACTTAATTTTGATTGCTCTCTCTTCCAGCCAGAGTCCTTTCATTCAATAAATATTTAGTGAGTGCCTGCTCCATGTCAGATAATCCTTTGTTCTGCCTATCTTCATATCTTGCATTTCCTCCTTGGTACCCTAATCCTAGCTGCTCCCTCCACCAATCCTTATTCTAGCCTGTAGTTTCTTTTTTTCTTTTTTTTTTTTGAGACAGAGTCTCACTCTGTCTCCCAGGCTAGAGTGCCCTGGCGTCAGCCTAGCTCACAGCAACCTCAAACTCCTGGGCTCAAGCGATCCTCCTGGCTCAGCCTCCCGAGTAGCTGGGACTACAGGCATGCGCCACCATGCCCGGCTAATTTTTTCTATATATATTTTTTTAGTTGTCCAGATAATTTCTTTCTATTTTTAGTAGAGACGGGGGTCTTGCTCTTGCTCAGGCTGGCCTCAAACTCCTGACTTTGAGCGATCCACCGCCTCAGCCTCCCAGAGTGCAGGGATTACAGGTGTGAGCCACTGTGCCCCAGTCTAGCCTCTGGTTTCAAAGTCCAGTTTTCTTTAAACTGGCAGAGGATTCTCTGCCTTCACAACATCCTTTGTCTTCCCTCCCACTCCTCCTACTCCCAGAAAGTAATGTCCCTATTCTTTAATCACATTCCTCCTCCCTTGCTTCAGTCTGTCTTCCATCTCTCTTATACTCTATTGTTTGTCCATTCATTCATATGTAAATACAGCAAGTGTTTATTGACTGCAGACTATGCTGTGCCCTGTGCTTGAAGCTAAGGGTAATATTCAATTAGTCTTTGTCACTGTCCTTTTCCCCAAGGAACTTAAAAATATGCCAGCCTCACATGAGGAACATTGAAATAACAAGGCAGTGTCTGATTAGGAATTGAGATAGGGTATGTACAAGTAATAATCATACCTAACACACATATTCCACTTTATGGATTTCTTATCTGTTATGTCATCTGACCTTTAAACCATTCCATGAGATAGCTAGGGCAAGAGGTACCCCATTTTGTAGATGAGGAAACCGAGGCTCAAGGGCTTACTTACCCAATTACCAGGTTAGAAGTGCTGTGATTGGAGTGGGCACGGTGGTTCATGCCTGTAATCCTAGCACTCTGGCAGGCCAAGGCAGGAGGATCGCTCGAGGTCAGGAGTTCGAGACCAGCCTGAGCAAGAGCGAGACCCCGTCTCTACTAAAAATAGAAAGAAATTAGCTGGACAACTAAAAACATACAGAAAAAATTAGCCGGGCATGGTGGCACATGCCTGTAGTCCCAGCTACTCGGGAGGCTGAGGGCAGAAGGATTGCTTGAGCCCAGAAGTCTGAGGTTGCTGTGAGCTAGGCTGACGCCACGGCACTCTAGCCTGGGCAACAGAGTGAGACTCGGTCTCCAAAAAAAAAAAAAGAAGAAGTGCTGTGATTGAACAATGGGTATAAAGTGGTTGAGTTGGGAGGATAGGAGAAGTGGGAAAAAGTCTGGCAGAGCAGGGGTTGCTTAGTGAGGACCCATGCTGAATGAGAGAGAATTTGTAGGGAAATAAGATAGGCTGGGATACATGTCACAACCTTGAAAACAGAATTATTTGCCTGTTGGATGCAGGGCTGTGGCAAGACCATTAAAATGCTGGGATTTTTAGAAGTCTTTACTAGGATATTACGAGAGAGCAAAGTCAGAAAGCTTACAGTTTAAATGCTGAACTAAAAAGAGAGAAAAAAAAAAGACTTAGGAAATGCCCTGAAATGTAAACACAGGTTGTCTATGGGTGGGATGATTTTTTTTTTCCCCTTCTACCTGGTATATTCTCCAAATTTTCACCTTTCATAATCAGGAAGAAAAAAAATAATCATTTTAAAAAGAAGAAAGTTATCCCCAGCAGTCTGTGCCTATTTAGGAAGTGGGAGGGGAGAGTAGAGGATATAGGCCAGGAAACCATAAATGACCCTTTCAGTGCTTCAGACAAAAGCTCCTGAGGTTTGAGCTAAGCAGTGGTAGTGGAGTTAGAGAAATAAGGAAAGATCAGAAACCCCTTCTGAGGAGGATAAAGAAGAGAAACAAAGGCGGTCCTACCTCAAGCTGGGACAACTAGGAAGATGTACAGAACTTGAACTATAGAGAAATCAAGAGGAGAGGTTTGGATGCAAAGGTGACGGGGTCCTTGAAACGCTTAATGGGAGGTCACGGCTGGGTGTCCAGAGAGAGGCAGGTGACTGCAGCTTGTCAGGAACTGCCCACCTGCCCCCCATTCCACTCATACTGCCTCTTGCTCCTCAGGTACTTGCAGTGGTGGTACCGGAAGACCCAGGTGGAAAAGAAGACCCCTTTCATTGACCTGATCAACTGTGTACCCCTGAGACAGATCTACGGTGAGGCTCACCCCAGCTCTTGCCTGCTCAGGGAGGGCTTTGCCTCCAAGTCTACCAGAGAGTTAGGCAGAGGCTTCCAGCTTATGCGAACTGCAGTGCTCTGTCCCCTAGGTTTTTATTTTTCATTTTTATTTTTTTCTTTTTTTGAGACAGAGTCTCACTCTCTTGCCCGGGCTAGAGTGCCATGGCGTCAGCCTAGCTCACAGCAACCTCAAACTCCTAGGCTCAAGCAATCTTCCTGCCTCAGCCTCCCAGGTAGCT